TGCTACATGTTAATATGAAAGTGTATGAAAAACATGATTTTATTCTATGTGTTATTGAGCACGGCAAGTGTATGTGATATTTTGAAATCGTATGTGACACCCTTTTGTGAGATGCATACAGGTCAAGGTGAGAGTAGTGGAGACAGTCGGGTGTCTGGGTATCGTCTGTTGTACCCGAACTGCCGCATGACGCGCTCGGGAAAATATGGAATAGTGATGGTCAAACTGCATGCCAACCATCTTGAGAATAATGATATGTCTTCAAACCGGCGCGTCACACGATGATCAGCATAGACGTTGTAGCGTATGTCCTCAGCAGCCAGGGATCGAGATAAACTTTGTAAGGGTTGACCGCCTGGTTCCCCCTGAGCGGGAGAAAGGCACGGGCACATGACATCTACTCTGTGTAATCAGACACACTCTCCACCCAGAGATCATGGGAAAGTGCTAGAATATCCAAAATGAAAATAGAAAACATCAGGATCAAGCATTATCACGAATATAGAATGAAAAGAAATGAAAAAAAAAGTCGAAAGATATAAGATTGTTACCACAAGTAGTGCCACGCTCCGTGCCACAGTTCTGGTCTTCCATATGCATCCCTTCCTAGCCTCGAATACGTGTAAGCTAGGGTAGCCGCCCTCCAGTTGTACTCATGGATCCGTGTGAAATCCAAAAAGTATCTCAGGTAAGCGGCATCCGTATATGTGAAGGAAGTGTCCACAAACAGCTGAGTGCCGACTAAAAATAGAAAATAACACCTTAACACACGCTGCTTGTGTATCTCAACCTCAGCTGGGTCACCATCTGCCTGGCGTGCAGCAACGAGCATCTCACAAAATCTACGTGTGAGAAAGGAGAACCTCACATAAGTCCTTCTGGTCTTATCTATCTCCTCAAGCACATCTAGTGGATCAGCCCCAAGCTCCTCGACCAACATGTCTCTCGCATCCTCCTTCGTCATCCTACCATGACGGAGAAGGGTACCCCTGATCGATATATGTAGTAAACAAGAGATCTTGTCTAGTGTGATCATGAGCCTGCCGTGTGGTAGATGGAAGAAGGACGTCTCAAGGTGTCATCTCTCTGCAAAGCCCATCAGCATCCCGTTGTGGATCAGGCTGTAACCGATCTCACAAAGGTCCTTCAAACTAGAGGCAGCAAGGATATCCTGGAACCAAGCCTCCTGTGGCTGCTCCAAAGATAATATCTTTCGCTCATGGCTATAAAACTTCTGCGGCCGACAAGTCTAAAAATTTCCATAAATAAGAAACAGTGTTAATAAGAAACAATGGTACAAATTATAAATTTCCAATGAAAAAAAAAATAATCTGAGTAGTGTTACCTCTCCATTCCATACATGTCTGGCAGTATGGTCAGCGTACCCTATCAGTAGGGACATATCTGAGGGACCCCCTGAGAAACCCACAGGCTCATCGTCGTCGTCGTTACTAGCATCCTCTGGTGGTGGGTCATCACCCTTTGGAGGTGGCACTAGATCATCGATAGGAGGAGGAACAAGAGTATCCAGACGAGTCCTACTGAAGGACGGGACCTGTGATGAACCCTCAGCTGAATCCTGATGCCTCTGGGATGAAGAAATGGATGATGGGGTGGGATACAAGGTCGAGAGAATGTCCTAGGCATATGATGATGAAGGTTGTGCCTCAGCTGTATCGTCCTTGGTAACGGTGGCCTAGCTCCGCTCGCGTCTCACAGATGCATGCTGTGAAACTCGTCCAAGTCGCAATCTATCTTCTCTGTCTGCCATAATGTCTGTAAGGTATAACCAATAAAAAACAATTTGATACAAATAAATTAAAAAACAAAATAAAATAAAAAATATTTTTTTACTTCTGGATGTGAACATACGAAAAACTTCCGTAGATGTATCTACGGAAGAACCCAGAATTCAGAAAGTTTGATTTTTTTTTCCGGAGCTGAATCTACAGAATTACCCTAACGTTAATTTGTTCCATAGATGTAGCTCCAGAACTACCTGCAACTCCAACAGCCACGACAATGACATCCTCTACCCATGAAAATTGATTTTTTGAAGTCCCGGTCGTCAGTTTCAGCTAACAAACAATACATACATTGTCTCTAAACTATGTTTATACAACTATTTTAGGATTTCTACCCCCTAAAACTATATTCTAACTCGTTTACGGGAAATACTCGAAAATACCTTGGAAACTCGAAAACTTACCGATTATATCGAGCTTTGAATGAGTTGGAGTGTCTTAATTGTTGAAATGAATGCTCTTTGTCAAACTTAACTGAAAAAAGTTAAGTTTGGTGGAAAAAGATTTTTTGAGGATTGAGAGAGTTTGGAGAGTTTGAGAGTGAAGAAGATGAAAAATGAAGAATGAGGGAGGAGAAGGGACTCTGGCGCGAACGTATTCCAATTTGTTTTGGTGCTATATAAACAGAAACATTCTGTAGATGTAGCTCCAAAAAAACTAACGTTGAGTAAAAAAATGTGCGTCTGGAGATACATCTCCGGAAGCAGGAGTATTTTTGGAAGCGCACAAGATACCTAAGAACCCTAAGGGGTGGGGTAAGAAATTCTCACAGAAAAATGTCTCAAACTGAAAAAGTAATGAGAGGCTCAACTCTTAAATGGTGGTTACGATGGTCTCAACTTCACCCAAAGTCATGTTGGGACACATTTACCACATTACTATTGTGGCATTTCAAACCAGAATGACAACCCCTTTTGCTGATAATTAATGAGAAAATAAAACCAACTATGAATCAATGGAGTCCATGGATCCAATATCTGAAACTATTGAAGAGGGCGTAGAAGAATTATCATCATCAAATTTGTGCAGAACATCTCTTAAAGGTGATACCTTGGATCAAACTTCAGTTGCAAAAGAAACAGAAGAAGTTTATGAATTGTTGAATTTTGAAGGTAAGCCTTTTATACTTGATGGTCATATTCATTCCACTTATGACGTTGAAATTCATTTTTACCCTTCACTCATCTTAAAGCAGAAGAACAATCAACTTCTTTCTCACACGATATCTTCAAATCTTGCTCGCATCTCAACTTATGCATCTCTCACAAATTCCATGATTGAGCCTCATGCCAAGGACTTAGGTTTTATGGAGATTCTATCAAAAAACCCAGATCCTGGTTCAAAAAAGAAAATCTATCGTTTCGATAAGTTAGGTCGAATTGTCGATTGACCTTCGACTGTAGCACCTCCGACCACTGCTAAAATCACTTAAATGATTCCTCCCATCAAGTCTCATTCCAAGAATAATTATTTTTACAATAATGTTGATTTCATGATTCCTTCAAAGCCATGGATCCTAATTTTGACATCAACAATTTCATCACTCATCCATAACCTCTTTTCAAGGTAAAAAATTCATGTTACTCTCAACAAAGTTCACTAAACATCTTAGATATAAGCACATCTCATACCATACTTAGTTCCAAAATCTCATTTGATCCTCAAGTATTGACCAAGTTGAGGAAAGAATCAACTAGAGATGAATCCATTGTTGCTCATGTATTTTTTTCTTGCATTGATTACTTGTCTTGTTAAGACTTTCATAAGTAGTGTTGTTGGGTTTGTGTGTTGTGGAACAAGTGAATCGAGAAAATATAGTAACATTGGATTCTCATATGCTTCCCACCACTTGTTTGTTAAAATGCCTCTGCCCGACATTCCCTAATTTTATTTGAACACCATACTCTTTCAAGACCTGGAAACAATTTTTACTCTCCCTAAAAGTTCTTCTTTATAGCTAGGTTATTTCAACATGAGTGGTACTTCATATTATTGTGGTATTCTTGAAAGCTCGCACAACAAAATCTTTGAACTAAGAATTTCTTGGCCTTCATTGCATGATGGTTATACACATAATGAATTAGTTCAACATGTATTATGGATTTTCATATTTGATTGTAGGGATGGTTCACATCAAGAAAACTTCACAGTGGAAGATGTGTTGGGTATCTTTGCAAACTTATATTCTTTAGATCTTGGTTGGCATGTCCACATGTTCTTAAATTGCTTGGAAGTTGCAAAATTGGTTCATGCTGACAGTAACGTTTTTACTAGTTACTCAATGTTGGGTTGTATTAGTCGTCCAGTGAAATTTTCTAGACATGTTGATCTACATGCTTGCCTCACTTTCAGTTTCAAAGCTAAATGGGTAAAGTTCGAGAATAATCTTATAGATAGTTTTGTTTCCTTAATTCTTACTGCGACTGAGTTTTCAGAATGAAAAAGAAATGAAAGTGGGAGTGAACATTCAGAACAAGAAGTCTCCACTAAACCTAATGTAAAACGATGTAGTTTTACATAGGTCATCCACTTGGGCGGGTTAGGGTACACACAATTCAGCTTTTGCTACTCGGACCCGCTCAGTTAAATTCGGTCCAAACCGCTTCTTCCACCCGTCAGCCTGTTAACCCATTCTAACTCATCCATTTTCTTCTTCTTTTTTTCGATTTCTTGCAGGTTGGGTTGGGTTGCGGGTCCTTGTCTACCCCTACTATAAATAACATTTTTTAATTAAATTAAAATAAAAAATTAAGAGTTAATTCATGTACTATCATGTTATATTCTTATATTCTGTTAATCTCACATAACATTGTAGACAAAATATATAGATGAAAATTACAAAATTATTCTCTTAAAAAAAATTTAAGAGATTAAAAACTAAATATTGTCGTATTATAAATATATTTAACCCTGTAATGATAATGAAATTTGGGTAAAAACTAAAATTTTAAAAATAAAACAAATTCAGTTTTAAATTTAACTTTTTAAATAAATAATAAAGAAAAAATAGAAAACCAGCTACAACCCCTATTTTAGAGGATTCTTCCGTAACACTTTACGCACAGTGAGTCCCTAACTCCCGATTTCGCCGTATTCTCGCCGTTCGTCTCCGCTAGACCCCTCCACCTCCAATTCCGCCACCGTCTCCATAAACCCCAACTCTGATATATCATCTCACAGTTTTTGTTGATTACTATGTCTATCGATTCGCTAAACGACGTCGCTTCATGCTCCCCGGAGATGGAAAAGTTCCTGTGTGAATTGCTGTTGGACTCCACTCAACCCATCTCTGAACGCTTCAGAGCCCTCTTCTCTCTTCGGAACCTCAAGGGTCCTGCTCCTCGCACCGCCCTTATTCTCGGTTAGACACCCTCTTTTCCTTTTCCTTTCAATTCAATAACCCTATCATCCAAATTGCACTATGTTTATCGAAATAGATTTAGACAGTGTTTGTATTGGTTTAATTAAACTTATCTATTTGTATAAGTATAAGCACTTGTGAGTATATTTGATAGAATTTATGGAAATAGCCTATGACATAAGCAAAATACTATAGCTTATAAAGTAAAGTTTCAGTTTTTGTTTATCAAATTAGGGCTTTTACCAATAATTATTGTTAAGTGGTTTATTGCATTGATTCTGGTAAGTTTTGTTCTTTTGTTCTTTGGCAGCAACTAGAGATTCGTCTAATTTGTTAGCACATGAAGCTGCATTTGCATTAGGTCAAATGCAAGAACTGGAAGCCATTCCTGCATTGACCTCAGTTCTTAATGATCTCTCTTTGCATCCCATTGTTCGCCATGAGGTAGTACTAGTACCGTAATAGCCTTCTATTTGTTCCTTTTTTCTATGTATCACTTTTTTTTTATGCTCTTTCAGCTTTAAGATGATTGTGTTTGTTATGATCTTGCTTAGGCAGCGGAAGCACTTGGCGCTATTGGTTCAGATAGTAATGTTTCTCTGTTGAAGCGTAGTTTGGAGTCTGATCCGGCTCAAGAGGTTCGAGAGACGTGTGAATTGGCTCTTCAACGTATTCTGAATTTAAGAAATGCAGCTACTACGGATGATTCGACTGCACCTGGTATTTCTCCGTTTAAGTCTGTTGATCCTGCAGCACCGGCCACGTGTTGTTCTTCGGTTAATCAATTAAGGTTTGTTTGGTTCATACTGTTAGAAGAGACTCTTTAAAAAGAGTGTTATTAGTTGGTTGCTAACTCAGTGTTAATCAATATTAGGGAGTTACTTCTTGATGAGGAAAAAGGGATGTATGAGCGATATGCGGCTCTTTTTGCACTCCGGAATGACGGTGGAAACAAAGCTGTTACTGCTATTATTGATTCCTTGGGTTCCAAGAGTGCTTTACTGAAACATGAGGTTTGATAAGTACACTATTTGATGAATGCCTTAAGGATAGAGCTTAAATTTGAGTACGCTGTTTGAATCTCTTATTTTTTTAATCCCAATATTTGTTGTGATTTAGGTTGCATACGTTTTGGGCCAATTGCAAGACAAAGCTGCTTCAGCAGCTCTATCCAATATACTTCGAGATGTGAATGAGCATCCAATGGTTAGACATGAGGCTGCTGAAGCTCTTGGTTCAATTGCAGGTATTGCATTTAAAACCAAATATTACGGAATGATGTAATCTTTTTTGCTGTCCATAATACAAATTATTAAATAAATGCCATGATTTGTGAGGCCATCTATGTATAAAAAGAGAATGCAAGCATATTGTGCAATGTATAGAATTCATGAGTAGATAGTATAGTAGCAATCAAAGTAAGCATTCTTTTTGATAATGAGCAGCCCGACTTAAAAGTTGTTGTGAATAGTTAATCTTTTTTTTAAAAGAGACTCATTAATCACTTATTACAAGTGTTGTTGTGAGTACTGCTAAGTATTTGAATCTTCTCGTTTACATAATTCTTTTGTTGTATGCCATTAGATGACCAAAGTGTAGCCCTTCTTGAAGAGTTTACAGCAGACCCAGAAGCTCTTGTCTCACAAAGTTGTCAAGTTGCTCTAAGCATGCTAGAAGCTGAAAGATCAGGGAAATCTTTTGAGGTATATATACACCATGATACTTACTGAAGCTTTGCGTATTTTGCTTCAACGTCTGTTGACTCAACTAATTTTTTTTTTATCTTGGTCGCAGTTCTTGTTCATGCGTACTCCAACTGTGGTGTAAATATTTTCTTATGTTGATACATTTCAATAATGTTAAGAAATGAAGAATCTGCATTAGAATGAAGGGACAAGGACAAGATAAACATAGATATTTCTACTTTTCTCAACTCAAATTGACAAAGTTGGGAAAAACTAGCCCTATAAAACAAGGGTTGAACTATGACTTTGTTGATTTATGAAACCAAATTTTTTTTTGAGTTTATACTTGCCAAATATAATGTCTACCTTGTATTATGGCGCATGAGAAATTTTAACATTATTTACTGTCAAGAAATCTAGAACTCTGGTTTATAATTCATACTAAATTTTGATTTTAGCTTGTGGTATACGAATGAGAATGGTTTCCAGAATCGAAATCAAAATAACTTGTGTATTTAGTTCTGATGATACAATTGCTTTGGAAAGTGCATTGTTAATCACAAGACACAAAGTTGCTGATTATTTAAGATTGTAGACTCTCGTTTTGGATGCTTATTGAGTTTGTCGCAGTGTAACGTTACCATCAATGTTTAATCTTCCTCCTTTTAGCATTCAGCAGCACATTCAGCTATAGCTTTACTGCTGTTGATACTAAGCAGAAATGGGAAATTCAAACTAAAGGTTTTCATTCGGGCATGTTTACTTAATTACACCAGACTATTGACTTAACTATGGGAAGAAATGTTGAATTAATGAAAAAAGAGATTGAAGATTGAATTTGTTCGAAATTTTATGAATTTGCATGTTTGTTTCGATTCAGACTATTGAATCTGATTGTTTAAAATATGTTTGTTTAACTGATGTTAGTAAAATAAGAAAATTTGTTAGTAAAAAAGAAAAATCAATTTGTTTGAGATCAAATGTTGATATTACACTCTTTGATTTGAAAGACTAACTAAATAATCATTTCAACTATGATGATACAAGAAAAATAGTCAATGTTGAGTTGTTCGTTAATTGGATCGGATCATATGGACATGTTTATAAACCAACATGCAATTGTAAAACATGTCATTTTTTGTCATATATTAATATATTATGAGTATCTTTATCCTCATATATTATAAGTATTTTTATCCTCATGATATATTATGACAAAATCGGTCCTTTAAGCTATTCGGTCATATATTATGAGTATCTTTATCTTTCTAGATGCAGTGTGTAACAATATTGAAAAGATGTTTAACTCTTTCTGGTAGAGAGGAGGTAGTAATAACAATATTGAAAAGATGTTTAACTCTTTCTGGTAGAGAGGAGGTAGTAATAACAGGAAAATTTGTTGGATGTCATGAGAGAAGTTTGCTTGTTTCAAGAAGGAAGATGAGTTGGAATTTAGAGATTTTAAAGCCTTTAACATGTCTATGGTAGCTAAATAAGGTTGGACTGGGCCCCGGGCTGAACTGTGCTGGCCCGGTCCAGGCACCACGTCGAGCACAAGATCCCCTACACGCTAGAAAGATCTCCCCGCAAGGAAGAACCGTCCCAACCACGTCGGGCAAGCAATCGCCTGCACGACCAAGCACCGCCCTCCGCGGGCGGTATTCCCCATGCCGTCGAGCAAGACCCCATGGCACTCCCACGTCTCCGTGTGCTCCCCTCCTCGGGGAGAACAACGTGCCTCCGGAGAATCGCGCGAGCTCCCCTCCGCGGGGAGAACAACGTGTCATGCGCACGTTCTCCACGTGCTCCCATCCGCGGGGACACGTCATCCCCCAACTGCCCACCTCCGAAAGAACAGGTCAAATCCACTTTTCGGAGACCACGGGACAGTTGGACTAGGGCGAAGACCACGTCCTGGTCTTCACTACGCCACGTAAGCCCTAACAGTCACCTGGGTTGGGTCTGGCCATCCAGCCCAACCCAAGTGACCGTTGGCCTAGCGCTGGGGTCTCTCTATAAATACCCTCTTCCACAAGAGGGTCAGGTAATTCACTTCTTACTCCATTTTCTGTATTTTGCTCTCACTCTGCCTAATTCCTTACTTTGGCATCGGAGTGTCTTGCAGGTACACCCCCCTTTTTCCTCCTCATCACCGGTGAACAAGTAGCAGTCCAACAGCGTGTGGCCAGCCCGTGATCCCCTTCTGATCAGGTCAGATCATATTATGAGTATCTTTATCTTTCTAGATGCAGTGTGTGAAGGTGAGAAAATACTTAGAAGGGGGGTTGAATAAGTATGAAGATAAAAACTTAGAAATAAAAACTCAAGTATTTTTATCCTGGTTCGTTGAACTCAACTACTCCAGTCCACCCTTTCTAGAGTGATTTGTCTTTCTCAATCAAGGACTTAATCCACTATTTAATTAACTAATTACAATAGTAAGTACTAAGAACAACTGTTCAAAGTCTTCTAAAGAACTACTGATCCTAACTGGATCTTCTTAAGGTTTTCTTACAATTAAATGTAATAACAAATACAAGTGTTTAAATTGCTTCTAATAAAACTTTATCACAACTGTGATTTTTCACTTAATATTAAGAACAAAGAAATTAATTCTAGAAAGAATGTGAATTATATGAGAGCTTTGGATACTGAATTCTTTTCAGGTAAAACGTCAACTAAAAAAGATGGTTGGAGACTTGCTTTTATAGGCACATTGATCCAAGAGTATTTCACGTTGAGAAGAGTGTACCAAAAGGTCTGAGCCTTTTCGTCTTCACATCAAGTGACCTTTCCTAGAAGAAGAAAGCACAGAGAAATCCTTTTTGTCTGTGTTCTTGTGTCTAGCATAAATAAGGAAAGAGTCGTTTGGATATTCCAACGGACATAATCTTTGAATTCTTCTTCATCAATTTTCAGCAATAATCATCAGAGTCTAATTTGATCAGAGCCTTCTGATGTTGATCAGAGTTATGCTGAATCAGAGTCTTTGCAGCAGGTGTGCTTTTAGCGTGTATAAGTTCAGAGCATATTTGAGTCAGATCCTCAATACTGGCAGCTTTAGTACTTTCAGAATCTTCTGTAGTAAATATGCTTGAAAATTCTTCATACATAATTCTTCTTTGGTTCAGATGCTTCTGACTTGCTTCAAATTCTTCTGGAGCTTCTGCTTTAGATCCTTCTGGAGCTTCTGCTTCAGATACTTCTGGAGGCTACGCTCAGGATCTTCTGATGGCAGCATTCAGAATCTTCTAATGGATGCATCTGACGCTTCAGAGTCTAGCATATTTCTTATGTTCAGTTCTGATTTGCTTCTGGAGTGATAATTACTTTAATACAGCAAACACTCTTAAGCAAATTTTAGAGTATATAATTCTTAATTACAAAATTTCATAATAGTTATCATCAAAACATAGAGATATTATTAAGAACCAATTTGTGTTCTAACAATCTCCCCCTTTTTGATGATGACAAAAACATCAGAAATTTTGTTTAATTGAAAATAGAATAATTATAACTCCCCCTGAGATGATGAATCTCCCCCTGAATTAAATATAAATAAGGAATAGAAACTTCCCTTTTGTCTTGAGTGATTTTCAGAGTTAGAGCTTGATTGTTCTTTAACATTTGAGAGTCAGAGTGTCTTGCATATTTCAGAGTCAGAGTCTGATAATTGTCAAATGATCTGAGAGTCTCAGAGTTTCTTTTACAGAGTGTACTTATCAAATATTCTGAAATACTTAGATTTTATGTTAGATAAATTTGATATGTCTGAAGTTTCATTCTGGTGAAGTTTAATTAAACAGTTCAGATCTATTTTCTCCCTTTTTTTTTGTCATAAGCAAAAAGTAATAATTTTGAAAAGACAAAGAAAAGGAAACAATAAGTGAGATAAATCATGTGGAGAAAACTTTGAAACATTCATTCATTAATTTCAGAGCAAAAGTACACACATCAGAAGATATTCAAATACATATGCAAACATCAGAAGAAAAAATAAATAAACTAAGAGTGTTTTGACAAAAGCATCTTCAACAGATCCGTGATCTCAGAAGAGGACTGTTCTTGTTTTGACATCCACTTAGCCATGGTTTCATTCTTCTGATCCTGTTGGGACATCCACTGAGTCATGTCTTCAGACTTCTTATCTTGTTTAGCCATCCATGACTTGATTTCTGATTGACCAGCTTCCAGAACTGCAATCTTATCTTCAAGATCTGGATATTCTTTCTTGATCTCAGATAAGAAGGTGGAACAGTTTCTGAAGCTTGAACAGAGTCAATTTCCATAGGAGCTTTGGAGCTAGGAGCAGTAGAGCCAGAAGGATGTTCTATCAGAGTCATAGCCAGGGGGTTGTCTTCAGATGCAGATTCAGTATTCTCTTCTTATGATGAAGGAGCATTTGTAAGAAGCAGTGGTCCAGATCTCTTAACAGTCCAGAACAGACTTCTAGCAGCTTCAGCAAATCTGAGCTTCGCATCATCAGAACATACGTTCTTTAGATTTGATGCTACAGTATTGAATATGTTTATGAAGCCATTCCAAATGACATCAGATTCCTTTGCATCCATTATTGATGAATATTTCCTCTGTACATAACCTAAATACATATGTATTTCTTGCAAAAAACTTGTAAATAAATGATCAACATTCAGTCTAGGTCTTGAGTGTAATAGAGTTTACAAGGTTATTGGCCTGGGTTGGGGAGTAGGTGGAAAGATGGATTTATGAATGGAGATCAGAGGAGGAGGGTAGTAGGGTATGAATGGAATTTCAGATGATTTGTCAGGTTTTGATCTGGATAAAGCATTCATCAGATTTGGTTTTGCTTTTGTTGGATAGGAAACCACATCAAATGGTTTATCAGAGTAAGGTTTGAAAGCAGATTTAGCAGGTTTATCAGATTTTGCAGATATAGCAGAGGATGGTTTTGGATCTGATGAAGGTACTGCAGACATTGTTTTGATATATGTTTGAAGCACAGATGGTAAAATGATGGTAAGTTTAGGTTTGAGAGGAGTGATAGTGTCAGAGGGTTCAATTCTGGTGTAGAAAATTTTCAAAGTGAAACTAGAAGGAAGTTTGTTAGAAGAAGATAGTTTGCATGAAGCAGAAGGTACATGCTCAGATGTTCTTGGCTTG